TGCTGGAATTTCAGGCATGAGTCATCATGCCTATCTTAGTGTTAGGGTCCTTGTTTCTAATACAGGACAAATGTCACCCCTCCAACCTGGTGTGGTGGGTGTGACATGAAACATGTAAAGGGAGCTCCCTGGGTCTTTTAGGTCTGTTTCCTTCTTTAGTTTTCTGTGTCAGTTTTAGGCCTTTTGGAAAGATAGGAAGTTCTGTTGCCAGGTCACCGTGCAGGGGGTGATTCTCCGTTGGACTGAGGGCAGCAAGGCTGCATCTTTAGCATGTCACATCTCCTTTATTCTCCCACAGAGCTTGTTGGAGTGTGAAGGAAATTAGCATGAAAATGAAGGAGGAGGCTTTTAGAGTTGTTTTTGTTAAACATGGACAGCCTTGTCTGCGAATGCTGAACACACGCAAGGGGATGGGATGAACAAGGCAGCGGTGGAAAATCGCTCAGAAAGTCCAGGTCTGCTTGTATAGAAAAACTGCGTGGTTGTTTTTTTTTTTTTAATTTTCAAAATTACTGCGAGTTTTTTTTTAAAGGAAGTAGCAATGCTAAGAATCAAAATGAACCATCAAATTTAGAAAACAGTTAATCATACTCACACCCTACTGATATTTAATTGCTGTGTCTAAGAATGTTTGACACCCCCTCCCCCACCTTAACACCTTAGCACTTCAACTTGATTAGAGGCACAGGGAAGCCAAAGACATTAAAGTTTTAGGCTTAGAGAAAAATTCTGATGAGTATTTTGAATAGGAATTGGTGAGTAGTACTTAGTAATGATATTATTTCCAAGAAAGCAACGAGTGCTATAGAAAATGCAGAGCACCTGGGTGTGCGTGACGTCACCCCGATATTAGCACACGCTTTCTGATGGTGTTTGAAAGAGCACCTGTGTCTCTCTCTGTCTCTCTCTCTCTCTCTCTGTCTGTCTTTCCCTCCCTCCACCCCCCACCCCCGCTGCAGCCTTTAGCTTATTTTACTTGTGTGAGGTGGAATGGCCCTGAGCAGCTAAGAACTCCACCTCTATTGCTTCGTTCTAGAAAAGCAAGACAGAATGGGTCTGTTCTTAAGGAAATGATGGCTGCATAAATAAATAATGTAAACAGTCCTCTCACAGTCCCAGAGAGGAGATTTGTCACATAGATCTGTTGCCCCAGACCTGCAGATGCACCCTTCCCTTCTCTCGCCTTGCAGCCCTGAAACTCTGAGTTGGTCAATTGGAAACTTAAAAGACACCTGGGACCTTTGGCTATTGTTGAACTGGTTTGACTTTCTTAAACTAAGAATTGGCATTTTAGAATACTGTTGGCAAAATATTTAACTTTCCCATCCCATTTGTGTAAATGACCTCTCTAATAGTCCTTAGACACTCTGAGGACACACCTTGCCAAAGCTTGTTGGCTCTACGCAGACATATAAAGGGTACACTTGAAAGATACCTAAGACTTCACAGTATGGCCTGCTTTGAGTAGTGTTCCCTGAGACTTCAGAGATACTTAAATACACAGCTATTTTGGCTTTATCCTGACAGCCCTGATTTCACAAGGCCAGTCCCTCTGTTTACAATAAAAGCTATTTTACCACTTAAAATAGACAAGTGAAAGCTGAGCAGATCCCTGTGAACCGAGGAGGAGCTGGTATTCATCCCTGAAGCTTAGAGCAACGTTGCTGGGGATGCTTCTGTCTTGTTTTCCTCTTTTTCCCAAGACCTATTCCCAAAATACTCATTAATTCATGTGCTTTCATGCATGAGCTGATCTCTGTCTGACAGATGACTACCCAATGACTTGTCCTCTGTCATCTAGCAGGTAAGTGACCAAGCAGGCACCAAACCAAGGGATGAGCTCCTAGTCTGATCTGTGTCCTCTCCTCTACAGCACATTAGAGAAAAGATAAAGTCTGAAGCAGAAGGTGGCTTGGGACCTCTTATCTGCCCAGCCTATCGACAATGGTCTATGCCACAGGAAAGGAGCGTGTCTCAGGCAAAAGGGAAAGATTAATAATTTTCACGGTTGTGCTAACCTAACAGCTCCACAAACCAGTGCCCATTGAGTTTTACAGCTCATACAAAGATTTGAACATACGTCAGCAGAAAGTGACTTAGTGGTAAAGTCTTCTCTGAGTGGCTAGAAAGGCGTCAGAGCCCTACAATCTCAGCCTTCTGTGAGGCCCTGTGTTTGCAGTCTCTACGGAAGCGGGGCTTCCCCTTGACTGGAGCTAAATGAAGAAACTGGCTGAGTAAGGGTAGCAGAATTAGGCTCTCCAGTGAACAGAATTAGAACTGACTTAGAGGTTATTCTTGAGTTGTTCTTTATACTCGAGCTATTAAAGAGCCCAGACAATATGTATTCTTTGCATAGAACACCCTCAGAGACAACCTTATCCCACTGAGCAGACGCTGTCCTTTCTCACCTTCCTTTGGCAGGCAGTACTGACGATGCCCAAGGCACTGCTGCACAGCGCATGCCGGTTAGAGAACTTCACCAGGGTACACCATGCATATTTTAATTAGGTGATCAATACTTTCCTCTTCGCCACAGGGCATTCGTGGGCACTTATAGCATACACATTAGCCAGTAAAGTGTTCCATTCAACACATCCAAACCACATAAGTCTGCCTATGCACATAGCTGCAATAAAATTAAGAATTCTGACACACAATCTCAGCAGAGGTCCTTTGAGATTATTAACACTGCTCTCAACACAAGAGATACTCAAGCAAAGTGAGAGTCTCTGGATGAGACACTTGAATGTCCAGCTCCTTCTTCTCCAGATAGCAGCAGCAGGAGCTTCATACAGAACTTGCTTCACAGAGCAAAGTAACATGGGAAGAAACAAAGCACCACACGTAGAAGCTAAAGTACAGAGGGAATTCCCAATAACTACAAAAGGGCGTCAGAGCAGCCCCTGGGATACCACACACTCTCCTCTAAGAGTGAGTATGAGAACAGAACGGGGCTGCCCCCTTTCTCATCTCAGGGACACCAAACCTCCTGGTTTCATCCCTACGTTCACAGAGGGTATTCCAGCAAGGGGCTATTTTCATGCATGGTTGGTCGATGGAAGAGAGGGAAGTCCACGAGAAAAGGTGGCAGAGCAAATACCTTCAGCTTTTGCAACTGCAAACTGTTTGGTGGAGAAAGGCCAGGCACCATTGCCTCCCTTCTCTGGCAGCTGAGGCAGGGCTACTTAAGAACCACTGAAGTTGGTTTCATTTTGCATCCTGTAACACTCCAGTAAAAGAGAACTTCATCAACTTTCCTCCCAATTGAACAGAAGCAAAAACTAAGAAGGGCCTCAGAGAAAATGCTACCTTCCTTGCTGTGGCTGGGAGGGAGAACCACAGGAAAAGTCCACCCTGTGGACTTCTCTAGGCTTGACACCCAAGGCAGAGCTCAGGCTTCCCCTCTGGGGCTGGCCTGGGCGCCTGGCTCTCAAGTCTCATCCCCAGAAGCACTCACCAGGAGACTCTGAAGCACACAAAGCCACATTATTGGGAGACTTGCAGACAGATTATAAATTTACTGGGGACAATCAAGGCATTTAGTTACTTTTGGCTGCAGATGCTGGTGACACGCACATGCACACAAACCTCATTCTTAACCCCCCTTTCTTCCCCAGCATCTCTCTTTCAGAAGACAAACTTCCCCTTAGCTGGGAATTCCAGGGAGAAGTGAGGAGAGAGCAGGTGGGAGAGAGAGGAATATAGGCCTAGAAACTCCAGTATAAACTGAATAGTTTCATTCAAGGATAAAGCCCAAGCCAGTTTAATTATGGATAGTTTTCATCTGGACCTGGGGGTCCCAGATTCACAGTTCTAGGTAGCCCAAGGGAAACATTTGCCCTCTGGGGAAGAACAGCCATCTCAGTCCCCAGAGCTTTCTGGGAACCACAGGAATCACCACAGATAAAGGACATGGGAAAGAGCAGCCAGGAAGAAGTGGTAGGACAGCTGAAACAGGCCCTCTCCTCCCGCAGGAGCTCCTTAGTGCAGTCCTTCCTTGGGGCTTTCTGAATGTTTTGGGGGCATTTTCTGTCTGTGCCTTTCATCAGGCTTGGCTTAGGCAGACTGCAGTTGTCCCATGAGCAGTCACAGAACTTCAGGAGCTTAGCAGGAGAAGCTTGTGGGCTTGGCTTCCTACTTCTACTGAAAGGCTAATGGGATAGCACTTTGCAGGGAGCCTGAAGGCGACAAGCAGTGGGTCACCTGACTAAGACTGATGACTCAAAGCTCTTTGCTCTGTGGGATGAGTATGTGTGTGGGGTGTTGTCTGAGGCTCTGAGGAAGTGCTTCCAGTCAGAAACTTACTCAGGCTTTAGAGTTTGGTGTGCTGTTTCCAGGAGAGACTGAAGACAAAGTGCTTCCTAGAACCCTAGCAAACAGCTCTCAGTGCCTTCCACAAGTGCTGGGAGATAAAAGTGCTTACTTGGAGGGTCCAGAAAAAAGACTGAACTGGGGCCTGGGGTGAGGAGCCTCTGAGGTAGTCCTCTTCCCAAGCATTCCTGCAGTAGTCTGTCTGTGAGGTAGTTTCCCCATGTTTTTGTTTAAAACTATAGGGACACTGTTATGTAATAGTCAATCACAGACTCCCCTTAACTCCAGGGGAAGGAGGATGGGGCCAGATGAACAACTGAGCTAAGTTCCTGTCAAGTAAAGATTGTCTTGCTGGGCCTAATCGGAGACAACATGCTAAAGCAGGAGGGTCCTCAAGGGTTTCTCAGCTGTAAGGTCTTCTATCACAAACTGTGGACTCTGAGCCTCTGGAGAACCCAGGCTCTTACCTCTCGAGGAACACCCTTTGGGTATAGGACAATGACAATGAGCAGTGGTGACTTTGATAGTGAGAGCTTACAACCACATACACATACCCAGCGGTTTTTGAGGGACTGGTATCTTGGCCTTCTTCATGGCCATCCATTCCATACGAGGCCAAGATAGCCACCACCTTCGCAAAAGGCCACATGACTACAGCCAGAATTATAGGAGAAAACCAGGTGCCTTACCGCAAGCAGGGCCGAGTTCCGCTGATCCCCCGGGGTCGAAGCTGGTGGCTGCTCTCGGTTTATCCCACTGTTATCATTACTGGTCAGCCGGTGCTGCTGATGGTGATGGTGATAGTCTGGTGGAGGTGGTGGGGCTGTGGCTGCTGCCTGGGAGGCCACAGGAGGGGCAGTAGGGGGCGGTGGAGGAGCTGTAGTGGTGGCAGTCGTGGTTGTAGCCTTAGCGTGTTTGCTAACCTTTCTTGCCCCCTGGCCATGCTGGACCAGGCTGAGAAGCTGCATGGTGCTTTCCCTTTCTCGGTCTGAGCTCTCAGCCCTACCACGTTCATAGCGTCCTTCACAGCTCAGGTGGTGCTGTCGGCAGACAGCAATGCGAGCCCGCAGGCGTTCCACAATAGCACTGTGCACTCTCGGGGTGACTGAGCCCCCTCCAAGGAGCCCCGCCCCAGAAGCCCCCCCTAACCCTCCTGCGGGGGCCTGCGGGGGCGCTGTGTCCCCCATCTTGTTGGACACAATGATTACTGCCTCTGGGATGGTGAGGTGCAAGAGGCTGGTGCTGGCTATTGCAGGCAAAGCTGGTTTCAGTGTTCAGGGCCACATGAATAGAGGTCTTCAGAGGGTGGGGAGACAGTGGAGAAGGTGTGGGGGAGGGGAGCGAGTAACAAGAGGGTGGGGAGAAAGATTAGAAACCAATTGGAGAGAGGAAGTTGGAAACAAACCCTGATCAACTTACTCTAATTGCATTTGACAGCTCAGGAGAAGTTGGACGGAGTTGGTAGATTTTTTTTTCCTCCCCCACCAGGCTGACAAGAGCCTCTTAGGTACTTTGTAAACACAAAGTCTGGGGGACAGTTCAAGAATTTAGAGATTGTCAAGGAAGAAGCAGAAACACATAGCAAAAAGGAATCAAAGGAGTCATTAATAGAAATCCGGGATCCCCCTCACCTAGCTGCTTCGGGAAATTATTTATAGGGGTGTTTCTGCAGAGAAACACATTTCTCCCGGGGGCTACGGAACCGGCAGCCTTCACTTTTACTCAGGTTAAAAAGCAAACAACAGGACTATTTCCCAAGGCTTCTGAAGTCATGCTCAAACTGTGCGAAATCAAAGAAGACTGCGTTGGTTTCTCCGTCCCTTTCTCTCCCTCCGGTGTTGGTGTTTTCTCCTCCTGGGGGGTACAGAAGGAGGTTGTCTTCTTCCCAAAGAAGACGGTTTTTCAGTCTTAACAACGTCAGTAATTAGACTTCAGAATCATGCTCTTTTTTTTCTTCAAGCTAATCCAATCACCAGCAAAAATCCCGATCCCCTCTTAGGTTTCTTAGTCTTAAATGAAAGCAGTCTGAAGTGGCTGGCTACTGAGAGAACTCCTTCAACACATTTCCCCCCTTTCCAACTTACGTTTTTATTTCTCACCCCCCAGTTCTATTCTAATACAGTATCAAGAGAGACAAAGTCTTCCGAGAGTAATTTACAAACGATGGTCAAACTTACAAACTTCCAGCAAATTGCACCGAGCCATGTCCAGCCACTTTTCTATCCACTTTTGTACATTCCATGCCCGACCAGTGGCTCTCAGAGGATCTGGACTCCCAAAGGCAATGTGGCTCTATCTCTTGTAATGCTTCGCTTTATAGATGGGGGGGAAAAAGAAGAAAAAAGTCGCTTGTATTTTCCTTTCTCTTTCAGGTCTGTTCCGAGCGCTTTCCTGACACCGACTCGCGCTCCTCGGACTCACGGCGAAACACAGGCTTTCATTGTGCTGCGATACGAGAGGGAGAGAAAGAGAGAGAGAGAGAGAGAGAGAGAGAGAGAGTGAGTGAGACAGAGGGAGAGAGGGAGCCAGCAGGCTGCAGATGGGGGAGGAGGGCGGGAGCTCGGGCTCCCTGGTGGAAGGCTGGTGCCGCTGCTCCAGTGAGTAATCGCAGCCAGGCGCCGGGGAACGGAGTGCAGAGGCCTCCCAGTGGCTGAAGAGGCAAACCCTTCGGAACAGCATCTCTCTACAGCCTGGGCTTAGCCTCAGCCTCAGCCTGGGTGCTGCGGTGTGGGAAAGACTGGGGAAATTCCCCAGTCTCCTCATAAGTGTTTGAGCAGCTTTCAGTGCTGAAGAAACTCCCAGTCAGGGACTGTATTTTTCCCCTTCCAGGCCCGCAGTCCGTCCTCCTGAGGACATGATTTTCGGTTTTCAATAAGCTCTTAACTACACCACTGAGCACCCCCAACAAGAGCTGGGTGAGTACAGAGGAAAATCTCATTAGCACAGTGAGGAAGTCGGTGAGTGGGTGCTGTGAGGTGCAGAGAGGGAAGCCCACCACTGTCTCCTAAAGGACGCACTGGTGAAGGCCAGTGAGTTTGGGCAACAGGCTGGGAGGTGATGAGCAAATAAATCATTAGGGATAAAGAAACATTTTATGAGGTTGATATTATCCTCGAGAAAGGAAAAAAAATTTTTTTCCTTTGAAAATTCACCAAATACAACGTATATTGTCCATAGCTGTCTTTTTGGCAAATATAATGTGCCACGAGGTTTCAAGAACATTCACAACAAAAATAGGTTTTGAATTCTGATTTTCACATGGTGTGGCTTCTAAAAAGCAGATTGGACAAATTTGTGTGTGCTTATCGATTATGGAGAATAAACTAAGATAAGCACGGCATTAGAAGTCAGGACCACCAAAAACTCAAGTGCTGTAATTTATAAGTCGTTTGGATCTGAGGTCTCCAGACACAACGCTTCATTCACTTAAGAGACTCCAGAATTTCAGCAGTATGCTCTTGCTTCAAATGTGAGCTATTGGTAGAAGCAAACAAAAATAATGTATCTGAAGACTGAATTTTATCCATAGTTCCGTTTCCCAGGGGCTGGTCAACTTTGGTGTGCACTTTCCCAAGTCCCAGGATGTTAAGTTGGAAATGAAGACGAGTATACTCAGACAGACAGGACAGGGTATGTCTCATCCAAAATGCTTGGAATCCAAAGTATTTCAGATTTCAGGGGGTTTGGATTTGGCAATATTGACTTAGACTTAATGAGTTGAATATCGTTAATCTCAAAATTTTTTCCTATTCTGTCAACATTAGCTCTGTTTAGATTATCATTCTGCAGTATCTCAGATTGTTTTTGAATCAACTACTTCAGTCTGTATAACCTTAGTCCTTTTTTAAAAACATCCTTCTCCCTGTCTTCTTCAAGGCCAAGTTCCTCTCCATTCATGTGGAGAAAGAAGCCATATTTGTTAGTGAAAAAAAAATAGAAACAGAGTCATAAGGAATCCTTAAAAAGTGAAGGCTTTTGGACCATCGTATATTTCATTTTTTAAAAGCAGTGTTTAGTAGGCAGCAGCTTCTACTAACTTCTACTTCTGTCATATTTAGCAATCATAACCAGTAAAAAAAAAAAACTATGCAGTCATTAAATGTAAAACAGTGCTTACTCGTTAGCCTGTGACAATACAGGTCTTAACAGTGTGAAGGCCTTGGACAAACAAGCTAATCCTACTCCTAGTAATATAAATTATAAATCAGAATGATAGATTTGCTAAATTGAAATAAAACTTAATTGACATAAAATTGTTCAGGGTTTTAGAGTATGGTCTATTGTTTCAATTAATGTATATACCGTGTAATAAACTCTGGTGTGTGTGGGGGGATTGTTTTTTTCTTTTAAGATATCTGAGTGCAGTTGTGTATGTGGTCTGAGGACAACTTTGTGGAGTTAGGTTCTATCCTTCCACTTTCACCTGAGTTTCAGGGATTGAATTCAGGTAATAGGCTCACATTGCAAGTGTTTTTAGCTGCTGAGCCCTCTCCTCAGCCCCCACCCCTTTGTAATTTTGACAGGAGCATAAATAAAAGCTTGGGAAGCAAGACTTCAGCAGACAAGTTTCTCTACTACATTCCAGTATGTAAGACACCCCTCTGGACTCTAGAATCTTGACTGTCTTTTGTATGAATTAAAAAAATTATGTATTTATTATTATCTTTAATTTTTTTTTACAGTCTAGTCATTATCCCCCTCCTGTTCTGTTCTCCAACAGTTCCTCATCCCATTCCTTCTCCCTCATCTCCAAGAGGATGTCCCTACAACCCCCTCCCCACCGGATCTTCCCATTCCCTGGGGCCTCAAGTCTCTGGAGGGTTAGGTGCATCTTCTCTCACTGAGACCAGACCAGGAAGTCCCCTGCTGTGTATGTATTGGGGGCCTTGGACCAGCTAGTGTATGCTCCCTGGTTGGTGGCTCTGTGTATGAGAGATCTTGGGGGTCCAGGTTTGTTGAGACTGCTGGTCCTATGGGGTCACCCTCCTCTTCAACTTCTTCCAGCCTTTCCCTAATTCAACCACAGGAATTCCCTGACTTCAGATCATTGGTTAGGTGTAAGTACCTGCTTCTGTCTCAGCCAGGGGTTTGTTGGGTCTCTCGGACGGCAGCCATGCCAGGCTCCTGTCTGTAAGTACATCAAAGCATCAGTAATAGTGTCAGGCCTTGGATCCTTGCCTTGAGATGGGTCCCAATTTGGGCCTGTCACTGGACCTCCTTTCCCTCAGTCTCTTCTCTATTTTGTCCCTGCAGTTCTTTTAGACAGGAACAATTCTGGGTTAGAATTTTTGACTGTGGGATGGCAACCCCATCCCTCCACTTGATGCCCTTTCTTTCTACTTGAGGTGGATTCTACAAGTTCCCTCTCCCCACTGTTGGACATTTCATCTAAGGCCTCTCTCACCTTCCAGGTCTCTGATATATTCTACAGGGTCCCCCTACCTCCCACCTCCCAAGGTTACATATTTCCATTCATTCTGCTGGCTCTTGGAGCTTCACTCCTTGTCCCCCACCCCCACCCCATACCTGATAATGTTCCCCCTTTCCCCTGCCCCTCCCCTTCTCTCACCCAATTCTTGTATATTTTACCTGCATGTATATATGTGCACGTGTGCAGTGTTTGCTGGCTTAGTCCACAAGAGAGTGTTAGGTCCCCTGGAACTGGAACTATAGATATTTGTGAGCCATCACATGGGAGCTGGGAACTGAAGCCAGGTCCTCTGTAGGACCAGTAAGTGCTCTTAACTGCTGAGCCATCTCTCCAGTCTCCTTTTATACACATTTACCTGTATGCACACCAGCCATTTAATTTCTGGTTGCCATTATCACTGATATTATTCAACTCATGCACATCATTTTTTATTATTTATTTTAAAAGTCACCACCTAAGGCCCAGTACTTCATATACATCATCCCCATCAATAGTTGGACATTCCTGGAAATGCATATTAGTTTATCCAGTTCCCCATTTAGACGGTAAGGACTTTTCAAGATGACTTTTTCCACATCATATAATTAGGAAGGATGATATCAGGACTCTCCAGACCCAGACTCTCTTTAGCACAGGGATTGCTACTTTAATGTTTTGTGAGGGGCACTACAAGCAGGCTCAACTCAAGGGATGTACAGCTGCCCAATGCTCACTCTGGAGTCTAAGCAGGTCTAATCCTATCCAAAGTATGTGTGT